TCACCATGGTGACACGTTGTCATGGGGAGACAAACCTAAAACTCCCCAGAGTTTACACCTTGTTCCACAGTTCACAATCTGGGCCTGATGAGGATGCATAAAAAGTACAGATTAACACATTGCTGTTAAAAACATTGGCCATGTGGTCAAGACTTATCATGGATTTCATAATATTCCATTCTTGGCACATCTAATTGATTGATTAATAATAATTTATTCACTTTAAGTGTTGTCAGAAATTAACGACATGATGTGCAAAAGCTGCTACTGCGTTAGGCTGACCGAGACTTGTCATTTGCACTTACATATTGCTGCTCTTTTGTTAGTTTTGATTGCTTCTATTGTCCTCGTTTGTAAGTCGCTTTGGATAAAAGTGTCTGCTAAATGACTAAATGTAATGTAATGCAAACGTAAAAGCCCCTAAAATAAATTCCAAAGGGCCCCTTAAGCTAATTTCTGATACTGATTTTATTAAATGTAAACTAGATTAAACATATCTGTTTTAACTTGAATTGTATTCGTGCAATCTGTCATAAAATGATCAGTTGTTTTTCTGCTCAGATCTGGTCAGGCTGGACTGGCTGGCTGCTCCAGTTTCCATAGTGTTAAAGGTTTACATCCTGTTAACTTAGCGTGCTTACAGGCTAACCAACCAAACAAATAATTAAACCATTAAAAAACATTTACGAATTCTCACGTCGAGCAATGTTCTGTTAAACGTTCTGTGTTTGTAGTAGTATACGACGTTACTTTCATCACATTTCACAGATTAATATTACCGACTAGAGTTAAAAATATAAGAGCTCGGTGTTCATACGTTACCTGGCTGGACAGGCTGTGAGATCAGTTCATGGGAGTTTACCAGCAGCTGCTGCTCGCCGTCTGGTCGCTATGAGTCTATGAAACCTGTAGAACGAGGCGGTTCAGTTCACTAGAAAATTATAAGACAAATAAATTAATTGACACAGATCAAAACAGTCTGATATACACATAGCCGCGGGAACGTATTTTGTCCAGGGTGGGCTGAGAAGTAAAACTTGTGGGGGAGGGGGGTCACGTGACAAGAGTGATGCGAGAAGACACACTATGATGGCGGATCCAAAAGTTACTTTTAATAAAACTTTAATTTCTTCGTTTAATAGGCTATAAGTGAGTGTCTTTATTGTTGCTGGGTTTCCATTCAAAAAATTAAAAAATAAATACAAAATAACAATGAACCACAAACTAAGCATTCGTTTTAAATAAGGGAAAATACCTTATATATGTGGGTTACAACGCAAGGCTATATCTTATTCATTTTGTTAATAAAAGTTAGATGTTTAATATATGCGAATTTGCCATTGTACTATTTTATGGCTGATGTGTTTTAATTAAAAGAATAAATCACAAACTATGATCGTTTTAAGGTAGCCTGAGGGGAAATCCATATTCATTTTGTTTAGAAAAGTTCAGTTTAATATTGGTGAATTTATCATTGTACTAGGCTATTTTATTGTATAGCCTTTTTCTTATTAATAATAATGAGCCATAAGCATTTGTTTAAAGTAAAGGGGAAATCCAAAAACCTTTCATTTATTTGTGTTACAGCGTAGGTACATCAATCTTATTCGTTCTGTTCATAAAAGAAGATCAAACTAAGCGCTACAGATGTGAGAATGCGAGATTTGTTGCTGCTGAGGTAGACGCTCTCGCTCTTTCTCTGCTGTCTCTTTGCTATGTCTGTAGAAATGGTCGTTAATTCTAATTTGGGTACGGCACAGACATGTTACAGGTAATAATACAATCAGTGGCGTAGCAAGTCAGCCCCAGGCCCATATGCAAAAAAAATGCATTTTTTTTGCAACGTTATGGGCTTCAACTCGGCTAACTTAACTTGGGCCCTATTGTTGATTTTTCTAAGGTAAATAACGCAAGACTATTCACAAGCTGTTTTATG